ACTTGACGACCCTTCAATTAGTACTCGGCGTATAGCGAGCATGTTACAAATATCCCAAAGTTTTGTATGGCGTGTATTGAATCGAGAAATGTTACATCCGTTTCATCGCCAAAATGTTCAAGCATTACATCCTGGAGATACTGAGCAACGCTTAGCATTTTGCCACTGGATTATTCAGCAACATGCTCAAAATAATAACTTCATTTCCCAAGTTCTGTGGTCTGATGAAGCGTGTTTCACTAGGGACGGCATAAATAATTATCATAACGAACATGTGTGGTCTTTGCAAAATCCACATGCAATTAGACCAGGAAGATTTCAACAACGGTTTAGTGTAAACGTTTGGAGTGGCATTTTTAACAATTCTTTGCTACCTGTATGGGTGATAAATGAACGCTTAAATGCAAATATGTACAGAAATTTCTTGGGACATAACCTTTTCGATTTTATCGACGACGTACCACTTAACATCGTTCAAAATATGTGGTATCAGCACGATGGTGCACCACCACATCGAGGAAGAGAAGTCATCGCTTGGTTACATGAACATTTTCCAAACAAATGGATTGGCAATGGAGGTCCAGTAGTCTGGCCACCACGATCCCCAGATCTAAATTCGCTGGATTATTATTTCTGGGGACACATGAAGCAGCTTGTGTACCATGTAGAAATTACTACCCGTCAACAACTACTGGACAGAATTCAAGATGCAGCTAATAGCATACGGAATGATCCAAATATCATACGTCGTCTGATAGAATCTTTACTTCGTCGATGTGAACTGAAGGCGGACATTTCGAACAATTTTTGTAATTTTTAAACTTATTTTTTATGTTACATTTTCATTTGCCTATTAAATTGTGTAAAATTTTCAAAGGCTTGTAACTCTTTAACCAAAATGAATCGGACCCATATTCATATAACATTTTTTCCTCAGAATCGCATCACCTTTCATCTGCCAAAGTTTAATGAATCATACTGTATATGAAGAGATGGAGATTTATAAACATAAAAACAGAGGTTTTTCATATCAATTTTTTTCATATTTTTACACACTTAGATCACCTGAAATAATTTAATACTTCTAATTTATTAATCAAACATTTTACCGCGCAAGGGTTTGTTTCCAACTTCATAGCAGTTCAAATGTCATTTGTCATTTTCGTTCCGTTCATCTATTTGATGTTATTCCGTGGAAAAGGTTGTAACTGTTTTTCGACGACTAATTTTACACTTGACGCTGTAAAGATTTGTTTCCGTTCTCAAGAATTAATCGTTTTAAAGATTATGAAGATCGCTTTTTAATTTTGAAGAAACACATATTGAACATAACCTCAAAGGAATGACATTCGATGTTGTCCGGTTAGGTTAAATAAAAAGTTTATAAAACTTTATTGGCTATAAATAAAATTTTGTTTAAATTTTTTCCTGCATAAATGTGTGAAAATATTGTTTTAAAATTTTAGAGAGGTGTCTAAAAATTGTTAAAGAAGACATATTAATAAAGCTGGTCTTCTGGGAGCATCTGCTGCTATAGAGCAATGAAAATGTATTTTTAATTTTAGCCGAGGGCGCTTGGTTGTCAGAGAGGGCGCTGCGGCAATGCTGCTCGACCTTTGCCCCCTTTAATTTTAATACACTTTCGCCGCAATTCTGCCGTAATTTTTTGACGGTCTAGCCCCTGGCTGTTATCCAATCTCATGGTCGCCTAATTATTTATTCATTATAATTGAATAACGTCCGCGAAATCAACCCCGAACAATACTTAAACACCAACAAAATATTTAATTTTACCAAGTAATATATTCACAAAAATAATTTTGGTATTAGCATTAAGAAAAAAAAAAGAATAAAAAAGTTAAAAGAAAATCTAATTATTATAAAATCACGTAACGTTAGCCCTTGAGAAACTGCTTGAAAATTGCCAAACTATCTAAATTATTTTCCACTTTGCGTCGCAAGCATTCGGCGGCTTTGGTACTAAGGCACTTGGCCGTTTTTGTTCTCGGTTACTTTTAAGAGAAGATAAGATCTCGACTCGCCCGAACTCGGCGCTCCGCGTGATTTTATGAAACGTAAAGAGGGAATTAATGGAAGTTTGTTTAGTCGAAACTTTATTCCAGACATCTTTCGAGCAAAGTCAAATTGTTTACCGCTCTTCAACCGAAATTAAACTCCATACGAGTAAATTTATTACACGAAAATCTGTATTAATTTTTCCCGGTTTTTATTTAAAATACCCGAGGAGATATCTCATCAATATTTTAAGAACGGATTTGGCTTGAGCTCGATATAACCGGTGAAATACAGCTTGTTATTAAAAGTTTCATGCGACATTGCAAATATTTTATGAGCCATTCTCATGAACCGAGGTCCGGGAATCGAACGGTGCTCGGCATCGAGATGCCTAGAGCTACTGCGTCGGAGGCGGAGGCCGAGGCGAAGGCGTCCGTTACATAACGTAAACGTGCATTTTGTTTAACAGCGTTGCGCAAATCGAAAACATAAATATCGGAAAGTGCACCGGCAGCGGTCACAGAAGAGCACCTCACAGCCAAAGCCGAAACTAACTGAGCACACTCTCGAGGAAAATCCAAACCGAATCCAGTTACGGACATCTTTACAACCGAGTGCCCACACCGGAACACCTCTACAACATAACAAAAACTAACTTGTGTAAGATCGTAAAACTTCCCAACATCGAATTTTAACGTTGTTTATTTTACTCGAAAATCGTTTTCGATATCGAAAGGCGTAACCTTCCGCGATTAATATTTCCTTTCAAAAATCCGTATTTGTCGGACAACTTTGAAAACAAAATAGTTATCGTTAGTCAGCGGCGGCGGATGCCGTCAGTGTCTGGCAAATAAATCTCACTTTTCCAAGGGATTATTTGTCGGACAGGGTTGTGTACGTAGTAGGTACGGGACCGTTTTATCAAGTCGGTCATTAGTCAGCTGGAGACAAAGAGACCCCCGTCGTAGTCATAGTGAATGGGCCACGGACCCGCCATCACTCTTCATTTAAATTAACACCACTGACTTTAGCTCTCATCTGGTCACCCTACGACGATGGATACGACGAGATGTACGTATCACAAGATTACATCTAAACTAAAATGTAGTCATCTTTAACACATTCGAGAATAACCATAAATGTATTTCAATTACCAGTTTTAGATTGGGATGAACATCTAATGTAAACAAAATTTCATAAACAGGGTAACTTGGAATTAGTTTGGAAAACATTATCTATTATTATTGTATTTGGGATTTGTTGCTTTATCGGTTTAATTAAATTTATCGTTACTGGAAGCAATATAATATATCATGATAATCATGGTGCCGTCAATCAGAGTTGAGCGGTCAAAGCTGTTTTGTAAATAATTACATAACGTGGGATGTATTAATTATAATTAACGTAACAAAAGCAAACGTTAATTATAGGTAATAAACAGGACGTTAAATTTATTTAATAATTTTTGCTATTAACTTAACAATTAATGAATATTAACTAGATTTTGTACTTAACCCGGCTCCTCCACCTAAATTTCATTTTCAATATAGACTGCTTATCACGTAGGCCACTTTCGTCCTATGGGAAAATTAATATTCCCCGCGTGTATCCTGGGTTTCTACGGGGACAAGAAATTGTACAGAATATGGTCGTGGCCATCCCAAGGCCCGGGGCTACCGACAAAAACCCACTATCGGGCCCGATCCTGTTATATTTCATTCAACGTTTAATAACGGCAGAGGCCGCCCTGAGTGGTTGGGCTTTTGCCCCCCGGTTGTGTAAACTGGGTACGTGTGGCGTATGCTGGTGAATTCCATGGAAAATGAAGGGGCTCGGGAAAAGGCACAGTGGGAATACAAATTGATCAAAACATCGATGAGGAGAGCAAATGCCTATTACGTACATATTGTGATGTTTTACTTGTGTGTTTTTACACAAGTTATTAAACTATAAATTTGGGTTTCTTTAATTTTAAGAGACTCTTATTAAACTCAGGGTTTCGGGCAAGTTCAGGTTCAAAAGAAAATTAATCAGGTTCGACAAAAAATTCATTTAATTAAACACAAAATCAAATTAACTCGTTTTATGAGTAACAAAAAAAAATGGTTTTCCTAAATTTACTTTAATAACAATGCTTATTTACGAGAGATAAATTTTTAAATAAAATAGATAACTGCGGTTATCGACTGAAATATCGATATTAGAGAGAACCCGTTTATTATTTGAGAGAGAGAGAGTAGGATAAAACTCGTTAGAACCGTTCTTTGAAAATAACAAATGGCCGACGTCTTAAGTTGTCATCAAACTCGTTGAAGAAAAATAGAATTAAATAAATGAACGTTATTCAAGAAAACTAATAAATCTTTACCCACAAGTAAGTATTGATCAAAATTATAGGAAACTCTTGTGAGTTGTTCTTTGAGTTTGATTCTTTGATTTTTCTTTTTGTAGGTTATGTTAAATAATAAAATAAAATTATCATCCGACTCACTGTGAAAAAGAAAGGATTGGAGTTCAATGTGGTATCTGGATTATGGATTGTCTCTTGTGTTCGGGGCACTAACTAATTTTCTGGATTGTCTACAGGATTCTTCTTACGGGAAATTGAACTGCTTGTTCTTCGGAAATAGGGTCTTGGATGATCTCGAAGAAGTATCAGTAGTTCTCGGAATAGGTTGTAGGATGATTCTCTTTTTATTTTAATATCGTAAGTTGATTTGACTTTAAAAAATTATCTTAAATTTTTGAGGTTATCTCTTGAGATTCAAAATTTCTTCTATCTGACGACGTGGATTCGCCGCTGGTCAGACGACGACTCTTTCACTCCCTGTTCGCGATCTCCTTATATACCCCGGCACTCCAACTGTTTTTTCCTCGTTTCTGATTGGCTCTTAGCTTCGCGCCCTTTTCAAAATTCAAAATTCTTGCTTCGAAACTAGCGTCATCTCTTGATTTTTCTCGGAATTAACCTTCAAAATTAAATTCTTTTTTCGTTGATTTCTCCCTTATTCCTTTATGAAACGTAATAAAACTTCGTATTCAACGTTGTGTTTTCTTGTTTTCAGACATACATTGGAGTACACGCCAAATTTCAACAATGAGTAAAGTTAGAAAAATTCAAATTTAAATCAAGGATTTCTTCCTCAAATTAACGTTAAAACCTCAAAAGATGGATGAAAAATGTGCTTTAGGAGCTGAACTATAATAATTGTTACTTTTGGAAGCAAACAAAACGGTTTAAGATAAGATTTTCACCAACAAAAAATCTCTCTGTCACAATTTCTAGGTTATGTTCTCTCGGTGAACTAAGAGAATGTTGAAATTATCACAATATCTAGTTTAAATAAGCGATTTAAAAGTATAATATTTATTCCAAGAAAATATAAATCAATACATTGTAATGTTGAACACGCGAAATTCCAATTCTCCAGTCGCCAAAGTGTATTCAAACAGTTTTAAATCGTGTTCAAATCGATAATAAGCGGTCTAAATAAGCAAAACAATTAGCGTTCCCGAAGGTTAGAGACGACGACGATGACGATTCCGTACTGGTCCTGGTAATAGTGCGGCGTTTCTACGATTGTTCGAGGACATGCGATCATGCACCGTCCCATTGTATTTTTAGCGGAATTGTGTGCAATTTATTAATCAACTTGTCTTCCTATTTAATCCTCGAGCCTGAGCTAGCGCACGCGAACCAAGCCGGAGCAAGTGCGATTTAATCTCGGAAAACTAATCGAGTACTTCGCTCGGTAATGGACGAAAATGCAAATTCACGGATTAACGGTGACAAATTGCGATCGACGTTGCATTAAATATCAGGAGTAAGAATCTCTTTATAAGTGGGTTATCTAAATTGTAACGTAGAAATTAATACCTATTACGAACTTTTAGTAGAAATATAAACTAACGAATCTTTTATACAAAGGATAAAACCAAGTTGGGACGAGTAAATTCGTTCACATCATTCTTCACGATAAGATCTATGGCTCCACGAGTCGAAGAACAATGTCGATCGGGGTTTTCTCTACTTCTTGTTCTTCGTTTAGTTTATTCGCCGGTTCACAAATGTCGGGGCATAAATCCGCGAAGTTTCGGCAGTTAGATAGTCGCGCGATCGGCGGCGACCCATTTTTCGTACTCGATATTATTCTCTCTTTCGACCTCGGCGTGACCCTTGTTGTAAATAAAACACAATTAAACCGTGAAAACATAAATCACGGGTGTAGCCCCGTTTCCAAAATCGCATTTTCACAGATCGTTGTTTATCTGAAAAGTTAGATCCTACGTATTGTGAGAGTAAACAACCATTGTTAAATATTAATAAGGTCAGATATTTGAAGTTTTTTTTTATTTAATTTATATTTGTATGTAAATTAATACCACTAGATGTTTACACAATACTACTGTTTAATCAATTATATACAGGGTGATTCACATAAGAACCGACACAGAGCAGGGACATGTAGAGGACAATAAATTAAGATGATTTAACGCAACTTATCTCTATACCAAGTTGTACCCCTGAGAAGTTATAGGCCTTCAAAGTTGGGTCTTAAATTTTTAAAACATTGAATATCTTCGTAATACATAAAGCTAGAAAAACCAAATTTGGTAGACGTTTTAGAGCATTTCAAAGGGTTGATTAAGGGTGATGGTTCCCTAAATTTTGGCAGATTTGTTTAACCTTTTTGTGGATTTAATACATTATTACCTCATTTCACGTGGAATTTAATTCTAAAACTTTTTTTACTCTTACTATTTTTTAAAAAACATTGTCGTTTTCAAAAAAGACTCAAAAAACTAAAGACGTGTATCTTGTTAATGCTACTTAAAATTATCGAAAATTCAGTAGTCGGCTGTGAAATTGTACGTAATTTGAGGAACAAACTGTTTATTATGAGCTAAAAAGACATCATCCATAAACAAATTTAGTTTAGGCATAATAATTTTCTAGTGATAAAGAGAAAATATCTGAAAATGGACTATATTTGTTGCTTAATTTTGGAA